ACACTGAGAGGGAGAAATATAAAAGGTCCAGTCTTTACGGCCATAGGGCATAAAGGAGTCAGTTGTCACAAAGGAGACACGGGGTCTGTGGCCAGGACTACATGGAACAAAGCTCTCACCAGTGCATTGCACACACACATTCTCTTCAGGAGAGGGAGATGGCAGACCTTGGGGTGAAGGGCCTCAGAGCTTTAGTGTGCGTGTGTGTGATGGGGTGGGGTGGTTAGGCAGCTGCTGCCTCCCCTGGCCTCCCCTCCCCTAAGGTGGCAGGGTTTCCCTAGTGTGGAGACCAGTAATCAGATCCCGGTGTAGAGGTGGTTCCCCTTCCCACCCAGGTGTTCTCAGAAAGCTCAGCCTTAAGGGAACACCCAGAGAGCTTCCTTAGATAAACTCCTCAGTCCAGGTGCTGAGACACACCTTCCCCAAGTGCTGTGGGGAGCAGGAGCTGGGGAGCTGTGTTAGCCGACATAGAAACCCTCCAGTGTTTGGTTTTGTGTAGAGAGTAGGACATAGGGAGAAAGAGGTCAAGCTGTCTGTAGTTAGTAGAGAAGAATGGATGTGGTTCTTCTTGTGTATTTATTTGTATCATAAACACTTGGAACAACAAAGCCCATAAACACCATTTAGCAGTTGTAGCCATTTTCTAGTTAGTTCATATAAACAAGTAAGGGTAACATAACAGTATTACCCTTTCACCCTTCTCACAGGACATGTACCTAAATATGGTACTTTATTTATGTAGTCACTGCATTGCTGGATTTTTAAATTAATAAAAAGTTAATTTTGAAAAATCATCTGCTAGCCTGTCGTGTGAATGATTTGATTCTCTGGTCAATTACTGGGTAATAGGAGAAAGGTGGGCCTGGTCATTTCACACTCAGCTTGATAACTCTCACAGTATAGCATAGTAGTTAGAAGCATGAACTTTGCAGTCAGACAACCTGAATTTTTAAGCTCAGCTCTGTGCCTACCAGCTGTATTTGTCAGTCTCCTCAACTACAAAGTGGAGGGATAGCAGTACTATTCCTTCTTGCCTGCAATCTTGCAGTGAGGTTTAATTTAGGCAATGCACAAAAAAGTCATTTGAAGTGTCTTGTGTACAGTGGGTGTTCATTCATGACATGTTCAAGAATGGCACGGCAGGACTGGCGTTATGCCACTTGGGATGCTGGCATCCCATATCAGAGTGCCAGTTTGAGTCCCAGCTACTCTGATTCTGATCCACCTCCCTGCTAATGTACCTGGGAAGTCAGTGAACTATGGCCCAAGTACTTGGGTCCTTGCCACTTTTTAGGAAACCAGGGTAGAGTTCCTGGATCCTGACTTTAGTCAGGCCCAGCCTCAACTCCGGTAAGCCATTTGGGAACTGAGCGAATGAACCAATGGATAGAAGATCGCTCTCTGTCTTTCCCACTCATTGTCACTCTGCCTTTCAAACAAACCAACAAATAAATAAATAAAAACATTATGGCACTTCAATTGATCATTGATTCATTGACTTCTGGCCTCCCTGTAGGCCAAGACACTTGGAAGGTTGGTACAGAGGGCCATTGACTTAGATTTCAAGCAGAGCTCAATTTTGGCCTGCTGCTCACAATTTTTGAATGCAACAGTTTGCATAAGTGACAGTCTTGTCACATATGGTAATCAGAATCAAATTCTCTCAACCCCTCCAAATATCAGTTAAATTGTGTTATCAGCAAAGTCAAAATATGAGAGTGCTCCAAGAGAATAGTCAAATGTGTCAAATGCTGCTAAGATATCAAGTAGTGTAAGGATAGAAACATATATATTGGTGTTAGCAACATAGAAAAAGATAGATGGTGCTGCAGAGATTGGAACAGAGGCCAGATTGGAGTGGTTTGTAAGAACTGAGTGGGAGGGAGGGTGTTTGGCAAAGTGATTACATCACTGCTTGGAATGCCAGCATCCCTTATCAGAGTGCTTGGTTTGAGTCTCAGCTACTATGCTTCTGATCCAACTTCCCACTAATGTACACCCTAGGGCTTAACAGATAGTGGCTCAAAAAAAAAGTGGCTCAGCTCTCTGCTATGGCCAGGGAGTGCAGTGGAGGATGGCCCAAGTGCTTGGGCCCTGCACCCCATGGGAGACCAGAAGTACCTGGCTCCTGCCATCGGATCAGCGTGGTGCGCTGGCCGCAGCGCGCCGGCCGCAGCGGCCATTGGAGGGTGAACCAACGGCAAAAAGGAAGACCTTTCTCTCTGTCTCTCTCTCTCACTGTCCACTCTGCCTGTCAAAAAAAAAAGTGGCTCAAGTGGCTCAAGTGCTTGGGTTCCCACTACCCATAGGGGAAGACCTGGATAGAGTTCCAGGCTCCTGACTTTGGCCTGGTGCAACCCGGTAGTTGCAGGAATTTAGAAAGTGAATCAGCAGATAGAAGATGTCTTCCTGTCTCTGTCTCTCTCCCTGCCTTTCAAATAAAAAATTAAAGTAAATGAAAAATAAAAACGAGTGGGGAAATGAGGATTTGGAGATAGTAGCTTGAGGTACCTTTTTGGAGATGTTCTACCATGGAGTATGGAGAGAGATGATGAAGAAAGCAGAAGAAGGATATGCAGTCCAAGGAAAGTTATTTTTTCTGAAATGGGATGCTGTTTATCCATATCTGAATACTGGGGGTAGATCCTGTAGAAAGAAAATGATTGAAGACAATGGAGAAATGGAAATTAATATGCTGTGTAAGGTGTATGAGAAGCTACGCCCTCATGTCGGACCCCTGAAACTCACAATTCTTGACCTGCAACCTGAATGGGATTTTGGCCTTTGGTTGCTAACCCTTTACATTGAGCTGCACCTAGTTCCCTTCATCTCTGATAGCTTGAGCTGCCTTTACACTCAGCATACTTTTTTCTGGAATGGTGAGCTATAAATCCCAATGTTGCTACACCTCCACTGGCAAAATTTCAAATAACTCAAACCAGACATCTTGACCCTGTGTTGCTCTTTTCCTTTGCCCTGCCCAGTCACATAGAAATTTCACCTAATTCTGTCAATTTGGTTTCCCAAATGTAGACCATGTTTATTGGCTTTTGCTCTCACCTACACTTGCAAGGTCTCCACTCACCTGCTTTCATTGCAATTCCCAGGAAGCACCAAATTCATCCCATAAGGGCTCAAGAAGTACTGTCTGATTCCACATGTTATCCATACTTTATTCATTTCTTGCTTTGAGTCTTGAAGGGGATTAGAATATGACACCTCAAAATATGTAACTTTGGCATAAGAATTCTTTTGAGCTGAAGGTGATTGGGAATCAACAGATGCAAAGAGACATCTCTGCCCTCCCCTTATTTACTGAAAAGCAGGGCATAAATTTGCCTTGGTGAAGATGTCCTTGTTCTTGGACCAGAAATAGATGAGAGACTTACCACTGAAGATGAACGTCACCACCAAGATGAGCCTGCATAAACAGACCGTACTAAAAACGTCCTTGTCTTCCTTGGCTCCTCTATATATTTCCTCATCACTTTCCCATGCCTCATCATACCTTAGAGCCCAAACCCCTTCCCTTTGTCAAAAGGCTATATAAGCCCCTGAGTTTGACTGCTTTCTTCAGTTTCACTTCCTTTCTGTGAACATCTGTGCACGTAAATTTGAATAAAAATTGCATGCTTTTTCCCCTATAAATCAGTCTTTTGCAGTCACTAAATCTAAGAGAGTAGAGGGTAAGTTTTTCCACCCCAACACTAAAACAATGCCTATCCACTGCCTCCGTCTCTGCCATTGATAGTCACCTTGACTGTCAGCTGTACTGTTGCTGGTGGGAGCTCCTTCTGCTGGCCTAGAGGTGCCACCATGGTGATGGTGCTCTGGAATCCCCAGTTTTCCCCCAGTGGGGCTCCATATCCTGTACACAAGTGGAAATAATGACCTCCTACCTCCTCCCCTGTGATATTTGCCACCTTACATTAAAGCAGTTGACAAGTAGTTTTTGAGTATGTATGATGGGTACCAAAGCAGGGTCTACTTGTGCCTTAGAGATCTATATGGTTTTCCATAGAAACAGGTTCTTTAGATTTCTGCTTTCCTCCCTATGCTCAGGGATCTTTTGCAAAGATCTGTGCAAAGTCTGTGCCACATACAAACCTCCATGATAGACATAAGACTGCCTTTTCAGGGCAGGTGTTGTGATGCAGTAGGTAAAGCCACTGCCTGCAATGCTGACATCCCATATGGGCACCAGTTCAAATCCCAGCTGATCCGCTTCTGATTGAGTTTCCTGCTAATGGACCTAGGAAAAGCAGTAGAAGATGGCCCGAGTGCTTGGACTCCTGCCACCCACAGGGAGACCCTGAAGGAGTTCCGGGATCCTGGCTTCAGCTTTACCTATCCCTGGCCTTGGGGAAGTGAACCAGCAGATAGCTCTTTCTCTCTGCCTCTGCCTCTCTCTTTGTAATTCTGCCTGTCAAATAATACATAGTTTTTAAGATTTATTTATTTATTTGACAGGCAGACTTAGAGAGAGAAAGAGAGAGAGAGGTTGAGAGAGAGAGAGCTTCCATCCACTGATTCACTCCCCAAATAGCCACAATGGCAGGAGCTGGGCTGATCTGAAACCAGGGGCCAGGGTCTTCTTTCAGGTCTCCCATGTAGGTACAGGGTCCCAAAGGTTTGGGCCATCTTCCACCGCTTTCTCCGGTGCATTATCAGGGGCCTGTATCAGAAGTGGAGCAGCCAGGATGTGAATCAGCACCCATATGGGAATGCCAGCACAGCAGGTGGTGGCTTGATAACTATGCTACAATGCCAGCCCCAACAGTACATCTTTTTAAAAAAAGGACTGTCTTTCCAATCTCTCTACCTTTTGGAACCATGTACAGCTTCTCTTCCCCACAGAAACCTTCATGCAAATTACTTCAAGGGGTTCACCTCCCAAAGCTACCAAACATGCCCAGACCCATTTGAAACCTCCAGCGGGAGAGGTGGCTCCTTGCAATCAGAGCTTCAGCCACAATACACAGCCCTCAGATATCTGACATGTATATGGTGCTGTGCCTTTGTGTGTGCATGTTTCACCATCAAAGTGTCCCCTCTTCTTGGATTGGCAAACTCCTACACATCCTCCAATACTCAACCCAAACATATTACCATATCTGGCCCCTTCTTAGTTTGCTACCATTTTTCCTTTCTCCCTGTGTACTGTATCCTCCAACCATGACAAGTAAATTCATATTCCTGGAACTTACCATGTTCTTAGTACTCCTGTGCCTACAAATTCACTCCTGTAATTTTCATTCCCTGATGTATTTTCTTAACAAATATGTACTCATCTTTTAAAATCCAGATTATTTATTTCTGATTCTCTTGACCCCTCCTTCAGGCACACTTAGTAGTTCCCTCTCCTATGCTCCCATAAAATAACAGCCAAAGTGCTTTCCCTGTGTCATCCACAGGGTGACCAACTGACATGCATGATTTCTTATTTAATCCTTACCACAGCCTTATGTGGAGGTCCCATTATTGACCCTATTTTAGAGGTGAGGGAATGCAGGAAATTCACCATTGAAAAAAATGTTTAATTTCATCTACTTGAAAGCCAGAGCTTGAGCAAGAGAGAATCTTCCATCTTCTTGTTAACTCTGCAAATGCCCATAACAGTCAGGCCCAGCCAAAGACAAAGGCAGGAGCCAGGACTTCCATCCTACTATCCCACATGGATGATGGGTCCAAATACTTGAACAATCTTCCATGCCTTCCCAGGCATATTAGCAGGGAGCTGGATCAGAAGTAGATTAGACTGGACTTGAACCAGCACTCCAATATTGCATGCTGG